TGACTTGTCTCCAGCCTGAAGGATGCTGAATGCACATTGTTTTAAGGAAAGCTTGATTGCATTATGAACACATACAGTGTGTGGCTGTGAGGTTTAAGCCATGCTAAATCTGTGTGTATTCAAGCACATATGTGATCACCTGTATCTGCCTTTCACTGTTATTTACCAAGAGGATAGAAGGAGTCAGCATGACCCCCAGTGGGCCAACTGGGACCTGGACTATAGCCTTCTTCTACCTGTAAGAGGGACTCCTTTATTGCCTGAAAGTAGAGCACTGAAGCTATGGGGCTGGGCACACAAACCAGTTTACTCAGGTCTCTAGAGGGCAAGGGGGGGAGGCGTATTGATTTCCCATTGTTTTTGGCCTGACCAACACACTCCATCACCAGTGAAAGGGCCCCCTGCAGTGTACAATTTCCAGGAGCTCGACAAGCCATTAGACCAGAGAGAGAGAGATTTCACATCTCTCTCTCTCTACGCTCTAAAGCTTCAGGCTGCACTTTGCCATCAGACACACAATATAGAAGTGAAATAAAACATTTGGGAAGCAGAAGAGCTCTTGCTATTTTATTCCTGCAGTGTTGCAAACAATTCGCGGTAAGTATCAAAACATTATCAGCTGCAGAGAGGAGCAAATGCTTCAATCCACACGAACGATTCACAACAACTGCTGTCGTAAGCATTTTCAAGTGTCACATTAACGCTGGAATGCAACATAAGATTTGCAGCACAATTGCAATTGTTACAATATGAAGGCTTTCAAGAAAATGCCAGATCAACAAAGATTCCCTCTTGTCACTTTCCCTTGTTAGCAGGCTCTAATTAACTTTTTTTTTTTCCTCCCCCTGAGTCAAACTAATATTTACACGCGCATCTATGGCAACTGTTCTTTGTGAAGGCGTCTATTCTGGTCCCGCATTCTTGAGGAGATTGGCATCTTAAAAGGGGATCGGAAAGGTGTAAAAGACCGAATGACCCTCACAGTAACACACTGATTGCTACATCATCACGTCACAGTTGAGTTCCAAGGCAGTATGGGTAAATTTGTACAGTTGTCTACACAGATTAGAACATACAGGAACTGCAGGGGAGAAGGAGGGGGCGAGGGGGATGCTTTGTGTTTCCATGTGTGTGTGTGTGTGTGGTTGTGCGTGTGTTTGTCTGTGTGTGTGTGTAGGGAAACACAGGCTTCCCTGAGGCCAGACACAGAATACAGTAAAAAAAAAAAAAGTAAGAAGAAAAGGGGGCAAAAAGAGCTCCCACACAGGGAATTAAGAGGAGCCACTGTGTTGGGGAGTACCTGAGGCTGGAGTTGAAACTCCTCCCTGCATATTGCACAGGGTTGAGCTGATTCCTCCTGCTGAACGGACCTTTCTTTGACCCGGGTCCACTCATCCTCTGTCAGTCTTTCTCTAGGGGAGGCCACCAAACCTAACTTTTGAGCTATAAAAAAAATAAAATAAAAATTACTTGAAGTAATAGTTATAATTCATATCCTAGTCTTCCTAAAATCCCCAACTGTTTGTTCTACCTAAAGTTAACGGCGGTGGAGCAGGGTCAAGCACGTATTCTCTCTCTTCTTGCTCATGTCGCCTTTGCAGATCCCTTTCTTCCACTCCTTCTCTCACCTGGGGATGTTTGCCTCTACTGTGTCTCCGCAAAGGGTCAGAAAGTGAGAAATCTGGATGCAGCAGGCTTCGCATTATGTGGTCTTGGAAAGCAGCTGAGGTGATTACCAATTTGCTGCTTGCTTTGGATTTTAAGTTCTGTAAAATATGTGAACTGCTGCAGTTACATTCAGTAAATGCAAAGCTGGGCAAAAGCAGCGAATGCAGAATTATTTATCTCAGTGAGGATGAGCACAAAGCTATAAACAAAAATGAATACACTGTGAGCTATACTGTCTACAATAACAGCAAAATGCATGAGGAAATGATTATTAGGCAATCCAGAAATTACATAGACATTTTATATATATATATATATATATATATATATATCCCGTATGGAGCTACAGAAAGCCACAGAAAGGAGAAATTTTGTCAACCACTGTGCCCAGTTTCAAGTCTTCAGCTAATGAAGTCTGTCAAAGTCTAAGGACCAAAGAAGTAGAAGAAAACTACATTTTCAGATTAGCGAACTACAATGTTTTGTTTAAATAATATATCACAAATCTGGGTGAAAAGGAGCTGAAATTAAAACCCAAACCTTCCGCAATGCCATCCTATCAGCAGTGTTTCGGTGGTTACCGGGTTACCAGTCCCCGCCCTCCGCATCGCCAGAGCAGCCAAAGACTCAGCCCCATCAGTGCTTCTGATTGGCTGTCGATAGTTTCTAAACTAAAACGGCACGGATTCAACTTTGTGTGGTTAATTAATAACTGCACAATACAGGAATATGTTCAATATCGCAAGTACCTCTAACGCTATTCGTGTTTTAGGATTTGTGATGAATATTTTATCACATAAATAGCAGTGGAATCTGAGCAGCTTACATTTACGGTATTACTGTAAGTATTGTATTATTTGCAGTCCAGACTTCTGTGATTTTTTTTTCCTCCGGTGATTTAACCTAAGCTTATTGAATTTACATGTTCTCACTTGAGCCACTGAGAAAACTAATGAGCAAGTTATATAATCTACTGAGCAAACAGAAACCAGAATCGAATCCAACAATTCACTCCACCTTCGCTTTAACCTTCCTACCTTATTTCCTTAAAGAATAAAGTACGACAGCTATAGTAAGTGATCATTTTTACCCTTTTGGTTTTTAGTTGATATCTTCTCAAGTCCCTCTGGGGCTGTGGAAGTGCTGGAAACTGCAGATTCAAATACAGCTGGCTCTAAAACCAATCCTCATAATCCCCCACCGCCTATGAAATGAACACATTTACATCCAAGTACAAAAACTGCGCAACAACAACTGTAAATGGGTAATTTTTTTTATATTGCAGTGAATATCATGTACGGTACTATATCTATATCAGTTATTACTGACTTCTCATCTGTGATTGTGATGTTGGTGTCTTTTGAACATTTTTATTGCCATTATCAGAAAACAAATATAGATTGATTAAAAAAAAATTATATCATTTATTATTTGTATTATTATATATATTTTATTTATATACAACCAATTCACAGCAATAGGCAAAAGAACCACCTAGCGAGAGTGGGGAGGAAAAACTTCCTTTTAAAAGGAAGAGACCTCTATGGAGTGGTAGCCATCAGCTGTGATTGCTTGGGGGTCTAGCAAAATAAAAAAAAAAAAGCATAGAAAGACCATAAACAGGGCAAGACACAAACTATGATAGATTACATACAATAGTGACATTTCAACAACACTGCATTAGCATGTGCAAACAAAGTGTAAGAATTCGTTTTAATGAGGAAAACCTGTATTATTGTGGCCTTAGCGCACATGTGAAGGTGTCTGTATGTTTAGGATGAGCACAATTTTTCAAGATTTTATGCCGGATATTTTTTTAATCAAAACAAAAGCTTTTGATACTCCCTCCACCACTGCTCACAAAGTCTTCTAAGTCATTGTCCTTCCATCACCACACAAAGACAAGTCTCTCTCTTTGAAGACTGTGCATCTCAGTCTCACTAATGATTATTTTATTGTCAGAGAGTTGTCATTAGTTGGAACCTGACCAAAGGAGGTTAGCCTAGGTGAGTGTGTCTAGGTGACTCACCGAGCTGTCGTCAGAGTAGGCACTGAACAAAGCTAAGCTGCTCATACCTGTCCTGTGAGCTCACGGATCCCTCCCAGGTCACCCTTACACTGAAACCATACACACAAACACGCACAGTACAAACCGTCTGTCTTTTTGTGAAACTGATGAAAAGTTTGCTTTATTTCTCACATACAAGGAGGGGGGGGGGGG